CTGTAATAGCAATACTGGATCAATATATATCAGTTAATAATACTATCAGTAACTATAATGGAAGTAAGTGTACAATAATGTGAATGCTACAGTTAATTTACTGATAATAGGTTATGGTGTTAATGTTATTCGAGATTCAATGCACAGTGTTTTTATTGAGGTATTTATAGTTTTTATAGTATATTCATGTACTGTATTTGCTCGAATAAACGCCCTGCTCAAATAAATGCCCATGAATAATATTTTGCAACTGTAGACACACAGATTTTAAAGGGTATAAGTGCCCTGGCACTTAGATTGCCCCAGATAGCCTAATTGTTAGACTTCTGTTCAAACTTCTAAAGGTTGGGGATTCTACATTATGTACATGTAGTTCATTAAAATCTACTCCACTTCTAGGCTTTTTTATTTTCTTTTACGTGATTTTTTTCCTGTTAAGAAATAGACGCCTAGGCATTTAATCGAGCAAATACGGTACTTTTATTTGTATTATTTAGCTTATCTCTGTGCCATCACCACATTGTGAGAAGAAATTGTTTGTTAAAGATAAATCTGATGGTTCTGTACTGGTTGATGATGAAATACTAAGTGTTGATTATAAGAATATCACATTAAAACCTCATAAAAAATACAGATTGTCAACTGAAGTTAAGAATTTGAGGGGTAAAGTTGAAGATACAGAATACACCGATATATGTAAGAGTATAACTTTGTCTACACATTTTCACTTTATCTCCTTTTTTGTATGTACATGTAGCTACATATAATGTACAAGATGTGCTAGTATCTACATATACCAATGGATCAGTTAGTGTACAGTGCGTATTTGTACCAGGATCACGTCCTGATGGATGTTATGTTACTTTTACACACACTGTCACTGGAAAGAATGACTCCCTTACTTTAACTGGATCAGATGATAGTACACTGATAGCTTTACCAACTGATGGAGTCTATGATGTATATGTTTATGATATTGTTAATCGATTGTTATATGGACCTGCTGTTCAATTAACAATCACAGCTACCGGTACTACTTCCAGTAAGTGTGTAAAATAATGCACTACAGGTAACAATGTTGTTATTATTAGGCACTACTGTATCTCCTAGTGAACCTTCAGACAATACTGAACTTCCAACAAGTACATATTTTTATAATCCATCCAATATTTTTACTTTTTTAGGTCAATTAGGAATTATTGTTGGAAGTGTTGTTTTCTTTGTCATAATAATACTATTGACAATAGTCTTTGTAGTATTTTTATGGAATAATCGGACTCAATTTCTAAAACCTGTTAAAGATTGTCTTGGTAACTTTTAACTTTAAATTATTGCATTATTATTATTATTATTATTATTATTATTAAATTCTAGATTCATGTAAATCACCACAACATAGTACTAATCAAAGTGATGCAGGACAATTAGTAATGGCCACAACATCTAACCAATCAAGTTATCAAGGACTAGGACAGCAAGAAAGCACTATTCAAGGATCATCTGAGGTAAAATTTATTCTTTTGTCATCATATCAGT